TAGTTTCAATTGTTCGAGTGCATTTTTCATAAGATTCAAGGATTGCCAATGATTTATGCTCACTACATAAATTCTAAATTGCCAGTAAAAATAGGAAATAAAATTTGAACCCCTTAAAATTATTTTTGGAAGTATTTTTCAACTGCACAAACAAGGAGTTAGGGAAAGGCACTAAATTATCCATTTCCTGCAAATAAATAACACTTTAAATAATAATAGTGCTTTAGAAAGGAAACAATGTCTATATTGAAATTAATATAATTACAATTTCTGCATATTAATACTTTTATTACCAAAGTAATTCAAGCAAAATATTTAGCCTACAAAATTTATATTAGAAGCCAAAAAATGTAGTCCTGGGAGCTTGCTTGAGCAAAGGCTGCAGGTTTTGGCCATGGTTCTTTAAAAACAGCCAGTCTCTAAAAGGGTGATTAAAAGCAAAATGTTGATTCCCAGTGCACAGAGCACAAATCTTTGTCCATATAGTCCACAGCTTCATTTTGTTACCTTGCAGCACAAAGCCTATTAGTACATTTCTTATATCTATTGTAATTTACATAAATTACAAGGTGCTAACCTTAGCCTATGCACAGGTAGGATGGGATTCATCTGTTCTAACTTGTGATACCAAAGATAATAATCTACAGCCTATGCCTCAGACAGGACATCTACAGGATGACTAACATAGGGTAAAACGCAAGCTCCTTTGCAGCCAAAGGATGGATCATCTGGAGAGTGGTGCATCTTACCCTACGGCAGGTACCTTAAAAAGCACATATGACAAATTATAGCCTGAAGGCTGCCTATTTCACTCTAGTAACAAGGAAATTCAGGATGAAAAGATCAGCCTTGTTGTGTGGTCATGCTCAGATTTGCCTCATGTTACAATAATTGCAAATAATATACAGTTATTTTCAGTAAATAGAAGCCACAAAACAAAATAAAATCTGAAACTGATCTTCTCCTTGAAATTAAATAACAACCAGCCAAACCATGAGCACCAATTCTAAATACTGAATGTCAATGATGAATTATGTACCAACCCATTCTTTTGTTTCCAAAATGCTGGGTTTGAGGTCATGCAACAGAAACTCCCAAATTACAATTTCTGAAACTGTCAGTTTCTGCCCCTGCTTGACTTGTCTATGTGATACTTACAGTTCAGGATATAAAGCATAGAGAACATGGCATAAAAACCAACTTGGCATAAAGAACAACTTGCCATAAAGCCTTGACTGTCTCGGCATTTAGAGAATTTTGCATGGAATTGGGATACAAAAATGCCATTTATTTTATCTGTCACTAAAAGCAGCTTCCTCAGTAGCAGCTAAATACAGGATTATAAATCACAGGCTTTGATAGCTAATACTTTTTTGAGTGTTTTACCTCCAGGAAAAAGTCACCTTGATTGCACTGCATATTTCTATGAAATCTCTGTTTAAGTATTCCTTTCTGATTATCTTTTCCACACCTTTATTTATTGTGGAAGAGAAGCCTTGTGTTTTATATCATTAAATACAATGTAAAACTCCACAAGTCTTCTAAATGTACTGCAATATTTGGGAACTAATTAACTACTTCCACTCAAGTCCTAATGAATTCCCTATAGTAGTGCAGGCTTTCATTGTGTGTTAGTACCAGAGAAAATTATGGTTTCTTCTTCTAGAATTAAGTTGGAAATGATGGTCTGCTTCCATAATCTTCCCCCTCACAAGCAGCTGACATGTTATAAACAGATTTATTTGCTTCCTGGATTTGGCATTCAAAACTGATGCTTCTTCTTTATGTGTATTTTTTAGTTTTTTTAACTGATTAAAAGATTTAAGTGCACCTTCTAGAGCTTTGTTCAACTGCTCAGAGATCTACCATTAAAAAAAAGTCCTTCTGAATTCTGCATTTCTATGCTTATACTCCTGCTATTATTGTTCCAGTCTTCAGAATCCTACTCAACAAAAGACAGTACACTGGAGCCTAAAAGAAAGTACTGAGGTAGATGGACACTAAACAATCAATTTTTTTTATAATTTCTGAGCAATCATTCAATCTCAATGCTTCCTACAGATTCCTGTAACTCTGCAATCCATGCAATATTGAGCCTTATTTCATAACAAAAAAATCTAACTGAGGTAATAATTCTGAGTATCTAAAACATCCATTGAACATGGATTTCAGTATAGGAAATTTAGATTCTCAGCAAATTTTGAGCAGATTAGCTACTTTATAACTGAGTTATATTAGATCCCCCTGGAACAAATACCAGACAGTTCTCTCCTAAAATTTTTGATTTGTTGAAGTGTAATGTTAGTCCAGCATCTTATCTTCTGATGCCTCAACATATAATTTTCACTGGATAAATTAGTTCCCAAGCTAATATCCTGTGATGAAGACAGCTGTAACATAACTATAAATGTAGTTTCTCGTCAATATGCTTATCCTCTCTAATTGGATTCTTTACTTGGTTATAGTCCCACAAATCAAATGATTCTGTCAATGGCTTCCTACTTCTGAATGATTCACTTTTCTTAGACCTGTAAGCCTAAGGAAGAAAGCTATAGCTGGAATGAACTGACATCATTTTCATTCACCATTTCGAATCTGTTCACTTTGTCGCATTTCTGACATTAAGCAGTCCACTGTTGAAGTGTTGTGTAACATACTGCACCTGGCACGACATACTCAATAAAAATACGGCATGTACTGTGTAAAGTTTGCCTACGTTTGCATATTGAAGTGAAATTACATATCCTTGTACTGGATGCACAAATTAAGCATTTTTAAAACATAATCTGTTTGTATTTTCTATTTCTCTTCATCTCTGTACTGCTGGTTTTTTTGTTTGCTTCATTACCTGGTTCTTGATACCCCTCTCTTTGTACGTCCTTGCTTTATTTTCCTTCTTTTTATTCTTAATTATTATAATATTCTTTTTTTTTTGTGCTCTGCTTCAGTTTGACCATTTTCTGCCTCTTGCTTCTTCCTTTCTTGAACATGCCTTACCATCCTGCTGCTTTCTCATTTTTTTTCTGCTGTGTGCATAAAAAAACCTGCCACACACAGTTCATCAGATAGTAGACAATAAATGCATGGGAATGTTGTAGAATCCTATCAAGGGAACGGCCATTTCCATCACATCACTCTATCAGTGCCAGAATAACTGCTACTGGCGTATTACAAATGCCTTAGACATACAATCTGTGGAAAAAAAGCAGCAGGTTGCCACTTTTTTAAACATGTGAAAACTAGTGCACAGAAGGTAAGTTAACATTTTAAGCTCCAACATCAATCTAGAGTACACCATAGGGACTTCTTCATCACCTGCAGCTTACGTCTTCTGGACCAGTTGGAAAGTCCATTTGCTGACACCCAGAGCTATCCAGAAACATATACAATGCATAAGCTTTGAGGACTCCCTTGATGGTTGGTTGCCTCTGTTGTGCCATTTGTTTGAATTTTGTTAGTGAAATACAGGAATATGAAACAGAAACTATTGTCTGACATGTCTAGACATCTGAGAAAACCAAAAACCAAAAGTTTAGTGTAAAAATATTTACCAGTGCCTAAGGTTTGTTGCCATACACATGCTGCCTTTTCCGAATTGACTGCTTATTCCCTTATCCACACCTATCTGGGACTAAAATTCAGGCATCCCTCAAATTGCTAGTTACGTTCTCAGCTCAGAATTTAGTTCCAGAAAAATGTAGCAAACAGAGGTTGTAGAGACCTTCAATACAAACAGACCTCTTATAAGAGAAGTTGCTCAGGAAGGCAACCCTGACTGTACCTGACAGATTAGTAGCTAGGTAGAGTATTTAAACTCTGGTACAAGTTATTGTCTCTTAATACAGTCAAAGTTCTTACTTCTCTATTCAGTGATTTTCCATCTGAAACATATAACCAAGCTAGGGAATAAGGACCCAAGCATTTATGAGCTATCCTTGGCTGGAAGTTCGTGTGTTAAAATCCTTGGGTTGGACAAAATGACCTCCAGAGGTCTCTCTCAACCTAAACCATTCTGTTATTCTGTGATCCTTTGAGGCTGAGGTATAACTAGAAGTCAGATCTCCCTTCTCAAGGCAAATGCTCAAACTACCACACTACTGTGCAAAAAGTGAGCAGTAGCATTACCTCATCATTATTTCTGGAGGAAAGAGAGATCCCAGTATTTATTCCCAGACAGATTTTCAGCACTTATTCTCTGAGGTATCTACCTCTATCTATTTTCAAGTCCAGGTATTCTCTGATCATGATATACTTTGTACTACTAGTAATCCTCAATGAATCTCACTGTTGAGTTTCTCCTTGAACACATGTAAGCCTTCTTGCATTCACAAGGACCTTCACAAATAATCTTAAACAAGTAGCTCTGTGTAATGCAAAAGAAAATGGAAATTAAAAAGAAAGACTGTTCAAGGGCGGGTACCATTCATGATTATTTTAAGTTTAAAAGAAGGTACTCTAGAGAAAGATAAATACTGGACAATTCCCAAGTTTCGTGAACTAGAGACTCCAAACTTCAATGTCTGGAGTTTTCAGAATAACTTATATCAAGAATATTTTTTTCTTAGGAGTAAATTTGTTCTGTCATTTCTATACCTTGATTCTACAGTCTATATATTACCAATACTATCATAAAATAAAAGTATGCCTGGTATTTTTTAAGGTGTAGACAACAGTGTTATGAGTTCTCAGCAGCACAAAATAAATTTTATTCTGTCATCTGTGATGATAAAAATAAATTCGTATAATAAAATGGGTATGTTTATACATACAGCTTATTTTTTTCAATTTCCAGAGGAAACTAGCCACCATTAACAGTTACAAAACATAGACCAAAATGGTTAAATAGATTCAATCTTTTTACAAAAATGACAGTAAAGACTATTATTTCAATTAATCTACAAGGTAAAAATTTGGTAGTATACTTCTCTATTGGTACAAAAAAAACCCCCTATAACAGCGACTCAAATAACTCTGTATTACTTCAGAATCTTTATATTTACCCACGCACTGGAATATTCATATTCCTTGCAGATTTAGCAACTTCTTCAAATTTTTCTATGCTTTCTTCAATTGAACAATTAATATTCATTTTGCTAAAAGATTCAGATGCTGCGCCAAATACTGAGACTTCTGTAGCCCCTGCCACAATCTGAAAAATACATTTCAATAAAACAGAATCATAACTGAAGATTAAGAGATTAGATTAAGCACTTACTTCTCTACAACATTCTTGAATTTTAAAGTACATTATATCATCCATATCTAAAATATAAGTTGCATTTCAATTTTTTTAAAATCTATTGCATAAAAACAGATGGAATCAAACTTTGAATTTATTCACTATGGCACTTTTATTTCCTTCCTCTTCTTAGCAATTAGGTAAACATATTTTTAAAGTGATAAAAGATAAAGGTTCTAAGATGTAGGAAATCATATGAACCAACTATGAAAATAACAATGATTGATAGTTATATTCATTTTTCAGAGAAGGAAATGATCATATAACAACTCTGAAATATTCATCCTCTGTAAAAAGCTTGTTCCTCATGAATGCCAGGACACTTAGGAAAGCTCTCTGCCTGCATGTGCGTAGAGCAGGAACAATAACCAACAGGGATTTCCTTGTTAGAGCCAACTCTAGGATCAAGGACTCCATTGGTCTGGTGTCATAGTTGATATGGATAATATGGAAGATATGTATGTGAGAGTCTGCTGAGAAAAAGTCTCAGAGCAAATACCAGTCTAGAAAATGTGTAAATGTGGTGACTTCACTGAAGGGGCAATTACCCTGATCTTGTACTCAGTACCTCAGTACTCACTAACATGAGGCAAACTAGGATGCTGAAAGCCAAATGAAAGGAGAATAAAACATTTAAGCTTAGGAGAATAGCTAGTTAATTAATTCTCATTCTCCAGTGAGAGTAATACTCTTGTTCTATGAAAAAGAATAGAGCTTCTCCCTTTTCTCTCTGCTTCTGCAGGCTAATGTCTAAGCTTCAGCAACCCTTATAAAAATGAATATCCTTTCAAATAGAGGGAAGAAAAGAAAAACAGCAGCAAGAAAGAACTCAGCAATAACCTACAACTTTTTTTGCATTGTTTTCCTTTCATTATATCACTAAATATGGTATAGAAATATAGTAGATTTAATTCAACTCATACAAGCTACCATTGCAGACAATGCTGTGGCACTATAAAGCTGACTATTGATAGTTAACTTGCCTATGTACAGGATTCTTTTTTAATAGAGTTTTCATATGCGGTATAAAAACTGAATGGTAAACTACACCATAAATGACCATCAAGCAGTATGCTATCCAAACACAGCCTGTCCTATATCAAGACAAAAGCATAGAAGCATGAAAAATTTTCAGAAAACGAAAAAATTGTAAAGCTTTGACTCTCAATGTGTATGTTTTAAGAAGACTGAGCTGCTCCATTTTCACAATTCCAAACACTTCAAGTCTATAATTTTGAATATTTATTTTGTATGAACTGAAACAATTTAAACTTTCAAACCCTACCAAAATGAGATGCAAAATTTAAGAAATCTAATACATTCCTATAAAGCATTTTCATTTAATTGACTCTTTCCTCATTCTTCTTCACTACTTTCCAATAAGAAGACACTCTACAGAAACTTTTCTAGGGCCAACAAGTCAAAGGTGGTGAAGGAATTGTCTTTCTCTTTATACACAAGCATCATTTATAGGAGCTTGCAAAGACTTTTTGATCAATACTTCCATTAAAGTATGAATATATAGAGCTTAACATCACTCTGTGAATTTGCCCATTTTTCACAATGAAAACTGAGAGTTTTTAATTTTAAAAACTATAGCTTAGTTCTAACAGGACAGGTTATATGACATTAAATAGCTAGTTTATGGTACTGAATTGAAAGTGTCTCTGAACATGAAAGAATAATCTTCTATGAAGTCACTTACAGCAGAATGAAAACCTTGAAGATTAGGTGTCAGAACAGGATATTGGACTCCAGGATGCCGCTCAATGCCCCTCATTACCTCTTTGTGATCTGCCATCTAAAATATATAAATAATTGGTATTGATCAGCAGTTATTTTCTGATTTTACATAACTAAGCAGAAATTGGTTCAGACTCTGTTTCTTCCTTCATTAGGTATAGAGTTCATACAAAAAGAGTAACAACAAAGGAGTTAAATGGATGTTATATAAGCACTCTTTTTTTTATTTCTTAACTTTTGAGTATTTGAGTTGCAAGCTCTCCAGTTCTATATGAATATAGAATTGGGGCTAAGATTTCAACAGTGTTTCTTTTTGTGTATATCTGTAAAAACATAATCTACATTATAAATTGATAGACTTATGACCATGTTGATCATTGCAACTTTAAGCTTACCTCAGTGGACAAAATAGGTGGAATTAACAGAATAACTGACATTTTAAAACCATCCAAATCTTGAAAACTTCAGCACTCTGATAAATGCAACTTCACAATCTTAAGCATAAGTGAACCTGAATTACTCAACACTGTAATCAGCATATTTGAAAAGACTAAGCACAAGTCTATCCTTAAAAATACAGCAAATTCCAGTTCTCTGTGTAGTGTAACATTTTAATATACTTAGAATTTTCTTTCAAAAGAAGAAAATTCTTCTTTATTATACAAAGGTCAAAGTTCATTACTTTATTCAGGCATTTGCTTTCCTTAGTCTCCTCTCACAAAAGAAACTCTACCTTTTTAAGAAATTCTTACATTTTTCTCACTCAAGATTAAATATACTCCACGTACTAATCAAGAAGATGAATCAAAGACTTATTCGTGTAATAAACTGTAGATTATTTAGACAAGCATATTCTCTTGAAAGAAATGGAGGAAAAATTCATTTATTTTTTAATGGTGTGCCTGCCTGAAAACAATACAGTTAACAAAACATATCACTCATATTTCACATCTTACAGATTTTGAGTTTTAAAAAAGAATAGTGTATTTTAAATGCTTTTTAAATCATCTCCCATAAAAGCAAACCTTCCAAGCGAACAATATTAAGTTGGATTTCTGATTCCTTACACAATGATGAAAAGTCATTTGAGGAATACTGTATTAAAAAATATATGAACTACAAAGCTTTTGTTACTCCTTATTTTCAACAGATACTTTATCAATAGCTTTGCAGTACCACAATCTTAAATAAGTGATATTAAATTATACCAGATTATTAAGTGACCATCATAGAATCTTTGGGTTGAAAGGGACCATTAAAAGTCATCTAGGCCAACCCCCCTGCAGTGAGCAGGGACATCTTCAACTAGATCATGTTGCTCAGAGCCCCATCCAACCTGACCTGGAATGTTTCCAGGGATGGGGCATCTACCACCTCTCTGGGCAACCTGTTCCAGTGTTTCACCACCCTCACTGTGAAAAATTTCTTCCTTATATCTAGTCTAAATCTATCATCTTTTAGTTTAAAATCATTACCCCTTAACCTATTGCAACAGGCCCTGCTAAAATGTTTGTTCCCATCTTTCTTATAGGCCCCCTTTAAGTACTGGAAGGCTGCAGTAAGGTCTCCCTGGAGCCTTCTCTTCTCCAGGCTGAACTCCAATTCTCTCAGCCTGTCCTTACAGGAGAGCATAATACTACTGGCAACGTTTCCTACTATGAAAACCAATGGATTAAAAATATCAGAAAAATACATGTATCCCTCCTCAAATACAAGCAGAACATGTATCTATAAGGAAGTGGACGTATGGTACGAAAAATGTCTGATAGCCAGACACAATTCATTTCTCACCAGGAAACAAGTGATGGCACAAAGCAACTTTTTGTAATTGTTTCTACATAAACTAAATTAGGCCACCTAACAGATCTGATAACCTCAGAAAAAAAATTTGGTAATGCCCTAGTTTTTTAAGAACAATTTTTTCATTCCTTAATTTAATATAAATAGTATCTACATTTCTCAAGGCAAGGAATAATGTTTGAAACCAAATGATTAATTAAATGGCAAATGTTGGAACTAATTCCACACTTTAAAATTATAGCCTGACATAAAATATACTAGAAAACCAAAATCACACTTTTTCAACCAGCATAAAGCTGCCAGGTCCAAATAATATTATATGTATTACATTTGTCCCATTACTATTTTTCCTGTAAGTAAAATCCCATTTTAACACATATTGCATGTTATAAGATTTTAAATTGTAATAAAATATTTCTTTTCCAAAATTCTTTAAAAATAAGCTTTCTAATGGTAGGTATTTATAATTTTTGGCCATTTAGGTTATAGGTGTGGGATCCTGTTTTATATGGCACCTTGCTACTGTGGAACTTTTTCTTTTAGCTTTTTTCAGTAAAAAAATCTCTGCCAAAAAAAACAGTGGATAGGAAGCCATAAAAGAGCTTTAAAATACTAAAAAAAGAAATAAGTGGATGAGTGATCTAAGCATAACGGTGAATTCTATTCCCATGACCTATGAAAAGAAAAAAGAAAGGAGCAAAGAAAAGACAAAGTTAAGACTGCACTCCCTATCAAAGCAACACAATCTTATCTTTTAAACAAGAAAACATTTTAAACACAAATTAAGGCATTAAAATAAAGTATTCAGACATGAATTTAAGATAAGAAGGGATCATTCATTTTTTCCAAAACTGACAAACCTGTGCTAAATTTGGTGCTCCTAATGGCTCACAGGAAAAGGAAATAATTAAACAAGAGAAGAAGAAATCCACCTTTGCTTTAGAATTTTCCGTCTATTTTTTAAAAGCCCTTACATTATTTTCTGTTGCTGTAACTGCCAAAGTTTGATGGCACTTGGAAAAACTTAGCCTAGCTGCTTTTAACAGACACAACCTGAAAACTCATTGCCCCTGCATTGACACCAAAGAAATTCTGCATTGTTGCTGTTCTCTTCCCCTTTCCTATTACCCTTCCTTTAGGTCCTTCCCTGGTAATCCCGGGAACACTGAAATAAATCAAAGGAGTCCCATAGAGAGTGCTGTACAGCCAGTTTGCTCTGTTAAATCATGAATAAAAGAAAGTATGATCATACCATTTTTTTTCTGAAAGGAAAGCCCAGAATACAGTTCAGGCCCAGGATGCATTCTCAGTTTAAAAAGGAGAAACTTTATATACATTGACAGAAGAGGTACAACAAACAATGTTAAAAACTGAAGTATTTTCTCAAATCAATTAATTTCATGTTTTACTTTGTATTAAATACTTTGTGGTCCTTACTAAACATGTAAGTACTCAAATGCTTCTGTGCAAACAAGTGCTTAATTTCTTGAAAATGAGTTTAAATTATAAAGGCAAGTATTGATTTATTTCCTTACTTGCAGAGAATGATTAAGTTTGCACAAACAGGAGATACACAGTGTACTTCAGGACTAAGCCTGAATTTGCAGTGTTAAATCTCAAATGAAAACCTGGCACTCCTAATGACAATGCAGTTTTGCTGCCGGCTTCAGAAAGGCTGAGATTTCTGCTGAATTGTACCAAAGGTAAAATTAGTTTTGGAAAAATAATAAGCAAATTATTACAATTCATCAAAATAGACTATGGCTGCTGATAGAGTGCTAGATCTGCAAAATAACTGATGTGCTTAACTACTACTACATACACAGAAGTCCTAAACTTAGGTCTTCCAAACAGACTTCCAAATGTGGAAAATGAAATTTCATTTAGGGGAAAAGAAAAAAAGGCATGCTACCCTTCTTTTTTACATTGATGACTATTAGTTCTCAGAAGAGTAGAAAAGAAGTAGAAACAATATTAAATTATATTAATAATGTGTCACTATCCTAATTCTTTAGGTACAACTGAATATTTACATAAATAAAGAGCAAAATAAAATACACAAGTACTTTCTTTGTCTCCATTCCACAGTACAATGTTAATACTGATTGTAAAGAACTTTTTCCATATTATTAACTGCAGAAAGTCACTGCCTCTTTGTGAGCACATTCAAAATCAGGATAGAATCTGCAACATCTCTCCTTAATTAGAATCCTTAACATGTAAGTGCGTGTGTGATTGTATGTGTGTGTATGTTTATAATGTTAGCATTTGGAAAAGGAGGACTGCATGGTGGATAGATACATGGAAACATACCAAGTGCAGCAGATAAGAAATGGAAGAGTCAAGCTCCCATGACAGTCCACACAAACCCTAGGCCTGGGGAGTCTGCTCCCTTGGTTTGGTGCTAGGGAGCTCCCTACAGAAGTTTCCCCAGTTTGCACAAGCCCGACAGCTTCATATTCTCAAATGTTTATGAATATGTCCACACTCAGCATCCTATATCCCAGCTGCCCTTTACTCAGAGGACTGATACATCGTCCCACACATCTTATGCCCACTCAGCATCCTGTGACCCAGTTCTCTCACTTCCCATTTACTGCTGTCCCTTGCACATACACACTCATACAAATTCCTACCCTCCTGCTGCAAGGGGGAAATAGGGAATCACCTGCTAATTTATTTACATTTGGAGAGCAATTACAATATTCAAGATTTCTCACATCCTATGTAGTAACCACAGCAAATTGTACTCCTAGCACTTCTGTTGATCAGGGCCCAGAGTGCTCCCTTTCTTAGAGTTTAGCTGCCTACATTCAAGGCCAGCTCGTTGATAAGAAGATAGCAAATAGAGAGGCATCAATCAGCCTTGGAGCTCATCAATAAAAGCCATAAAGCAGATTAGCAGAGGCTCCCTCAAACAGCTCTGTTAAGAAGTCTTAATGTGGCCTACCATCTCTTTTCACTCAGAAGAAACTTTTAAGCTGAGACACAATAATGCTTCCATCCTGCCTGAGAAACAGTGCAACTGCACAGCAGCAGCCAAGCCTGTACTTGGCCATGTACCTTACTGATTGGATCCTGACTATGTCTCACATAGTTGACCTCTCAGCTCGACCCTGGACCTGCTGCATCACTGCAGACTCACCTGGGTATGTGTACTCCTGGCTGCCCTGGTTACCCTCACCAGACTTTCTCTGCTCTCACAGACTGTCGGACTGCCCTTTAGTCAACAAAGCTACAAGCTCGGCTCCCCTTGTTATTATGCTTGGCTTCCCAGTAGAAAAGGACCTGGGAGTGCTAGTCGACAGCCAGCTGAACATGAGCCTGCAGTGTGCCCAGGTGGCCACAGAGTCCTGGCCTGTATCAGAAATAGCGTGGGCAGCAGGAGTAGGGAAGTGATCGTGCCCCTGTACTTGGTGAGGCCGCACCTTGAATCCTGTGTTCAGTTTTGGGCCCCTCACTACAAGAAGGACATTGAGTTGCTGGAGCGTGTCCAGAGAAGGGCAACGAAGCTGGTGAGGGGGCTGGAGAACAAGCCTTATGGGGAGCAGCTGAGGGAACTGGGGTTGTTTAGTCTGGAGAAGAGGAGGCTGAGGGAGAGACCTTATCGCTCTCTACAACTACCTGAAAGGGGGTTGTGGTGAGGTGGGTGTTGGTCTCTTCTCCCAAGTAACTAGTGATAGGACAAGAGGAAATGGCCTCAAGTTGCGCCAGGGGAGGTTTAGATTGGATATTAGGAAAAATTTCTTCACCAAAAGGGTTGTCAAGCATTGGAACAGGCTGCCCAGGGAAGTGGTTGAGTCACCATCCCTGGAGGTATTTAAAAGATGTGTAGATGTGGTTCTTAATGACACAGTTTATTAGTGGGCTTGGTAGTGCTAGGTTAACGGTTAGACTTGATGATCTTAGAGGTCTTTTCCAACCTTAATGATTCTAGGATTCCAGTTCCCCTTCCCTTCTGGAGCAACCTGCTCCCTAACTCTGCTGAGTTAGGGATTTAACCAGCTTTCTGAGCAGCTTGCTGGCTTTTCTTCAAGTTTGACTACTTTTTAGTAAGTAGCCAAATTTCAGCTGACTTGAATAAAAGCATAAAACTTAAAAATTGTGTAAATGGTGCCTGATAAAAGCATCCAATTTTATGAATAAACAACATATTATTTATGTTCCATTTTCTTGTATAATTATACAGGCTATACTACTGGAAAACTCCACTGCATGGAATGGCATTTAAATTGAAATAGTTCTGAATGGTAATAATTTTACATACCTGAGGCACCCATTTGGATGAAACGAAACTGGTCACTTCTATTGCAGGCAGGCCTGTTCTGGAAAGCCGGTTGATTAACTCAATTTTGATATCAGTTGGGACTATCACCTACATGGAGATACACTGTAGTAAAGTATTTAATGTGGAAAGAAACTTTTTTAAGTGAAATGTTCCTAGCACATAATCAATACTTTTTTTTTAATAATGAACTATACTCATATATTATACCATAACTACACTGTTTCATGACAGTAGGAAGGTACTGCACAAGGAAACCACTAGGTGGCATGTACGATCCTACTCCATTTTTTGTCCACACACAAGAACGAGGAAGCACTTCCATGTAATTTGGTATAGATCTAGCCTCACTAATTGTTAGTAACCAACTAATTGGTAGTAACACCAACCTAGCAAAGAAGTGACAAAGAAAATAGTAACACAGAATAGTTCAACCAAAGAAAAATGAAAAAAAGATCCACAGCTGAGGCAGAGTAATTCTCCTATTCTGTTTATACTATTAACACCTTTGGTATCAGTAACAACGATATACGTAAGCTTATCCTCCTGTTTGCGGAAAAAGATGATAATTTTGATACATGTACCCTATTTTACCTAGTCTCTTTCAATCTTCTTCCATGCTTCCCTACCAACTCTTCAGGCAAATATTGTCAAAAGAGTAATTTCTTTTCTTTCCATGCCTGTTCAGCAAGAAGTGTGACAAAACCTATTATACTATTCCTACTATAGTAGCACACGTAGCACAAACACATATTATGAAGATAGCCAATGTTTCATGGCATTTACCAGTTATGTCATTACAAAATGTGATTGATTGATTAATAAGAAAAATACCAGAGAGAAAAATGGCAGCAGAGTAACAGAAAGGCTAGTTAACCAAGTATAGCAAGAAATTATGTGATTTAACATCTGGCTAAATAGTAATATACCTTTATTCTAATATACAAGACACTTATTAACACAGAAATCAATAAATATGTTTATAGTACAAAATGAAGAAACACAATTAGCATGATATATGCATTTTACACAATGAAAATAATGCTGATGTCCATGTCAAAACACACCCCAAAAAAAGAGAAAAATTACCTTTTCATTTTGTAATCCATCTCTTGGCCCAACTTCTACAATCTTTATGTACTCAGGCAGTCCAGATGCTTGAGATTCCTGAAATACAAATCAATACTGAAACACAAAACAATAAAGGTCACTAAAATCAAAGGTACACCTTGTACTTGCCCTCTCATGTGATTCTGGGTATAAAGTCATACTGTCAACAGTAACTTTGCTCACGGCCTTTAAAAATCTGTGAGAACATGTTCCACACCTTGTGTTAGGGAATAAAAGTTAAAAGCAGAAGTTATCTGCATGCATGTTTCACTGCTCCTCTGGGGCCACAAATGTTTATTATAAAAATGTACATAAAACCATAAATAAACATTGTATTTTACAGAGTGAGAAATATTCCCATTTTGAAGCTTCACAATGAACAATCGAGTTCTCCAAACTTCCAACTGAATGTTCTCAATTTAACTGAACAGTTGCTTCTCAGTAAATGATTGCAAGACCAGGCTATAAATCTGAAAAGAACTTCAGTCAAGAAATGTTGATGAGTTTATTAATGAAAGATGAAAGTAATTCCTCTGCTTGAAGATGAAGGTTTTAAAGAAGGATTTAAAGGAGAACAAGAAAGGCCCCTGGTAGACAAGAAGAAGAATTCTCCAGGTGTAAAGGAAGATCTGGAAAGGTAGGAGGCTGACAGTGAAAGGAGGGAAGGAAGGCAGCAGTAAGGTCAAAGGGCTAAGGAGAGCATGGGGAGTTGGAGCGGGTGGAAGGAGAAACAAGAGCAGAAAAGCAGGTGAAGGGAAATGAAACTTCCTTCTTTATTATTTAGCTGCTCTGTTATTGAATCAAGTTGACAGGTGTGGCAGTTAACATAACCTGGCCCTTTAAGTCCTGAAACTGTTCAGAGCAGTTGCTTTAAGACTGACTCCAAAAAAGCTGTGTGTCTGTAAAAAACAAATCAAATGGCCAACTTGGGGCATGCTGCCAAGGAACAGCCAGGGGGGATGCAGGCAGCCCCACCAGGAGCTCTGGAGACGCCCTGTTTTCTGTATTGCACTGAATACAGAATCAGTGTCTTTATTCCAGCGTTGAAAACCCATACTGGGATTAGCGTGAGATTAGCATACTGGGATTAGCATGGGATTACCTGTGGGATGGCTGCTCCTGCTGCACCCACCACCCTCCCTGAGAGTTAAACTCCGTGGGAAGGACGACGCTGTCAGCCCAGGGGGACAGTTTCCACCCGCGCGAGTCACAGCTCTCCCAGAGACCAGAAGTCACTTCTGCAGTGTGTGGCATGGCCACTAATCTCGCATCATCCACAACTAGATGAAAAACCCATTTTTCATTCCTCCCTGGCTAGTATCACCGGCATTTTTTCAACCGAATGGCCACTAATTTCTCCTCATGGGAATCGAAAATGAGCATTCCTACAGCACCTTTTGTTTCTCCCCACATTCTCGGTGCCCGTGGGTAAAAGTAAGTTCTCTGCAGCAACAGCCGCAACGCTACCCAAAATACAATAAACATATTTCAGATCATTTACTATGTATTTATCTGAGCCCAGTAAAAAGAATGGGAAACAGCTGTATAGTATCTATTTGATCACGTGGAACATGTGGTAAGTTAAAATTCTGTCAGGCTGTGCTAAGCCCACACTCGCTGACAGTATAAACCTACTTAAATGTGAAGGTAAAACCTTCACATCTGCTGCATATTGTTTCTACTTTTTTTAAGTTATTTTCACAAATATGGCACCACTTCAGCACTACGGGCATAAATCTGGGTTATTTCATGATTATCAGATCCTTCTTGTTACAAGACAAATGCCACAGCTGCACTATGAGTAAAGCTGTGACTGAAAAAAAAAAAAAAGGAGCTAAAATAGATTATGTGAACCAAAGCTTAATTTAGAGCATGAAAAATGTCCGTAAAACCTCAGTGGCAAAAATGTTCAATTTCTAGGCCAAATCCTGTAAATCCTATTCAGTCCTTACTGTGGTAAAACTTGTGCTGAAATCAAAGAGCTGTACCCATCTTTACAGATCAGTTCACACAGCTACAGCACGTGCAATAGCCATTCACACAACTCTTCAGGGGACGTCTGCAGCCTGTGGATTTCGTAGGGGACAGAAGTTTGGAAGGGACTTTGCAGAAAGGCATTCAAGTACTGATTTTTCTTCTCCATCTGTGATACTACAGGCATACAATCTTTTTGAGCCACAGTCCAAGTCTCTCACACCCTGATTTTCTCTATAGCCTTCCTGTCCACTAGTTAGTCCCAACTTGAATTTACTGTCTTGAACACAACACTGAGAATTATGTACTCCCGGGACCACTCTCAAAAGGGCTACATAGTGGAAACTCAAGGCAATACTACAGACAAATCCTTAAACTTTTTGAGCTGATGAACTAACAACTTCGAGTAAACATTTTGGCTCTGAGTCCAGAAGTCTTGCTTTGCATTGAATTTCATCTAGTTTCATCTATAGTACGTTGATTGCTACTGTCTTCAAGGTCACTCAGTTCCTCCTGTGTGGCACCCAGTGTCATACTGATAATGTCTCCTATCTTTCTGTCATCAGCAGATCTTACCACCTTGATATTTTCTGGTGAAAACATTTGGACTAACATGATTACCTTATTTTAACACAAACATATATTATCTCAAAAAAATGGGGTTAGTGCTATAGAAGAAACATATTTTTTTAAAAAGACCTGAGGAACACCACCACCAATGTCTCTTTGGTCTAATCTGCTTTCAACATTATCTCTTATTTCGTCCTCAGCCAGTTTCTCACTAATCTTGCAAACTCTGTTCTGATCATTTCTCTCCCCAGTATAACTAATAATTTCTCTTGTGCTGCACTGCAGAAGGTCAGATACCAAGCAAGTAAAAGGGAGACAGAATACTTATGTTCAGGCCCCCATGTACTATTTATGCATTTTAGTGTGCATAATCACTGGATAAAACTGAGAAACAAATTAGAGACTATAAGAGTACATGTACCATCTTCTGCTAAGATGCTGTAGCATTTTTCCATTCTGTGGCCAAAGGAGTACCTCCTCACCTTAATCTCACCTGTCCTATGAAAACTCAGTAACTACCTGTTAGGAAATTCTTCCAAGATGTTGGAGATACGTACTTGACAATGTTGTCCAGAAGAAAAAAAGAGACTCTCTGCTTCCTTGTGAAGTCTTCTTACCACAGTGTCACACTTGCAGAATATTTGGACATCACTTGAAAAAGCTGAAGTCACCTGAGCCACCAGTCACAGTCTGTGCCAGGCTCAACGCCATCTGCATTCACTAGGCAAGCTTCAAATCCACAGAACAGACTGAAGTCTTTAAGAACTTATGCAGAGTTTAAACATTTCTCTGTTTACTATCTGGATGTCATTAGACCCTAACCAGGACTCAGGCTTCATATATTGAGGGATTGAGTTCCCCAAACTCTAACTGGAGGATTCCAACTGTGCACCATCACCTTGGAAGGATTTTCAGAATCAAATATGAGACAAACTCAGAGAATTTCAACACCTTCAAGTATGGCGTTAAGTGGTCTACAGATAATAAATAGACAATATAAACAGAAATAAATAGAAAAATTAAAAATAGTTTTTATATTTTAAGAGAATCCAAAAAAGGTTAACTTTACAGAAATGCACAAGTACTTACATTAGATACTAAACATGTCAGGTAAATAATTCTGTTTCAGACAAAAATATTTACTAGATTGTATTATATGAAGTATTTTCATGTAACAAAGTATGAAAAGTAGCTATAGTAGATATTTAGAGGTGACTGCTTATTGAATAATATAATGGCTCTGTTAAAAACTAATGACTACCAAAGTACAATGTTTGAACTAACAAAAAGGAAATAGCTGACATAAAAGACTAAGAGCCTGGAAAATTTGTTTTTTCCATCATGTATCAAGCCTTGCCAAGGGAAAACAAAAAGCATATAAAACCACAAAAAATTGCCTCCCTTAAAACAGAATACAGCCAAAGAGTCTTTTTTAAAAAAATTAGAAAAAGGAAAGCTATACCATTCAGCTTGAGACACCAAATGCCAAATTTCTGTATGGGAACGTTTTCCCAGAGCTATAAATAGCTGAAAATTCAAGTTTATTATAGAAAATCCTAGTAACCCTTAATTAGAGCAGTATAATCTTCTTAATATAACTATAAATGTAATCAAATTAAACAAACACTTTTTTTAAGCTCTGTCACCGCTTCACTACATCTAGTAAAGAGGCTGAGGTTCCTTCAGCCTTCTCATTTTTATTCCATGCAGCTCATTCATATGGGTACTAATAGCACTGGCAAATATTTACCCAGAACTGCTCAAAAGTAACTGAAAGGACCCAAAAGTAAGGGAGAGGAATCTGGAGGTTCAGGTATCTTCGGTCTTTCTAACCAAGCAAAGATGGAGCTCTGCTTTCCTTTTCCACAAGGTGGTGTTCTGGCACAGAGGACAACTGAACAAAGATAGGTCCATCTTGTACAAGGAAGAATTATTCGGAAGA